GACATTACGACTATATGACGGCTAGGGAAGGTTGGAAATGTCAGTTTAGAGTTGGGAATGAATGCCTATTTTACAAACTTATATTAAGTTCCACTTGTGTGACTACATAGAAACTTGAAATTAAGCTCATAACCGGATGACAATACAATATGGTAGATTAGTTAGGGCCAGTTTTTCAGTGCACGTCTGTGGTTTAAACTTAGATTAAATGCTTAAGCTTGCTGGTTTAAAATACTGGTTTATATTTAAAATGTATATTACTTAATTGGAAAGAAAAAACCACAAAAAATTAAGCCGTTAGGTGGCCAAGGGGTCGACTTTTCTTTTTTATTAACCACTAATAGAAGCTTGTTAAAAATTTAAATTATTTGTTTTAAAATTTCTTCTGTTTACATAACAACATCGAGTGAGGCTTCAAATGTCGTAAATAAGATACTAGAAGTATTCGAATACAACTGAATCTTTACTACTGCAGGAGTCACTCTCATCTCCAATTTGACATTGTAAACGCTTCTTTATGTTGCCTAATGAATCCCATAAGTGAATAAATAAGGTATGTATTTCAATTTTAGCAGAAAATAAATTCAAATTTATCCTGGGAACAACTTTTACTCGTACATCTTTTAATTACTGAATTGGTATGTATGGTTTTATATAATATCCATATCTACATATTTTAAATATCCTAGTACTTACTCATAAGTCACGTTTTTGTCAAATTGTTTCATAAATTTAAAAAAAAAATGAGAAAAATCTAGTAGTATATTAGCTAAAATTGAATTTCACAAAAATAAAGTATTATTCAACTTGTTCATATATTAAGTGGAAACGCTATTAGTCATTCTATAAATTCGCAAGTACAACAAGCCTGTTACGGATCAATTAAATTGAGCTTTAGTTGACTTTAGTAATTCCAATTAATTGATTCCACTGCTTACAATTACCTACATTTTACTTATACTAATTTAATCGTTAGCTTTTTGTAGCAATTACAGTACACCACGCTCCGCAAACAATGCTCACTTCTGCAACTTTACCTTCAAAGCTTTCGATTTTTCTAAAGTCATCACAATAATCCACTTTATGTCCAATACCTAATTGGCCGTGTGC